TCCATGATGCAAATATGATGATGCACAACTTGAACAAAGGCAAAACAAACTCACATAGTCGGATTCCACGGTTCCACTTGGAGGTGCATTGCGTACTTGCTCCAAGCACGCAGCCCAACGGCTGCACATAGGCTTGATATTCTCCCAACGCTCTTGAAGTGACCGAAATGTGCGTGGAGTCCTATTGGGATGCTTTGCCATAATGAGGCCAATATCTCTTGGCGATTTGAGAAGTACCCATGCATGCATCAAGAGACACCACACTTCATGCTTTGATCAAAGCTTGATCTTCCAAGATCGTGTAGTTCTTCGATCTTTGGCTTTTCCCAGTTCTTGTTTGCGATTGCTCATACGCTTCCGCTTCGATCTCCTCCAATTCTTTCTCACAACCATGATCGTTCACGCCGCCCTCCGTTTCATTGTAGTCGAATGCGGCGAACGGGGCTTGATCAATGTCAACAGCGTTGGTGTCCAACAAGTTCACGAACTCGACAGTTGCATTGTTCGAACCACCGCTATAGTGAACGATAACAAGTCATGAGCTATCGCAAAAAATGGCGAAAAATGAAAGGAAATCGCCATGATCGAAGATGCATACCTTCCGGCCATTTCGTTGAGCACCTCGCTTGCGGGGGGAGCAGCACCATTGAACGGCATTGCCGGGGCACCTCTTTCCGGGATGGAGTGAGAGGATGAAGAAGGCGGCTTCTTTGTAGCTGGAATCTTCCTCCACTTTACGTCGGCGACCTTGGCGACCTTCTCCGCCACCAGTTGGGATCGCGCTGCGGCGTTGGCGCCCGGAGCGTGGGCCTTTGCGGCGGGGGCAGCCGGATTCCTGCCCTGCACGACCATGTTGCCCTGCCGCTTGCGGGCAAGCGCGGCGTTAGCTTGGGCGGCGGCAGCGGGGCCAACATGGCTGGCGACAAGATCCGCCCGAGGGGAAGGAGCATGCGCGACCTCGACGGTGACGGGGGATAGCAGGGAGTCGTCCATGGCGGCGAGGGACGGCCGGGGAGGAAGCACCGGAGCATGCGGAGGCATGGCAATGGTGATGGAGGGTGGGAGGAGCGGGAAAGGGCGCACGGAAATGTCCCTCCCACCAAATCTCGCTGCGGATAAGGACTGAGCTCGGGTCGGCCTCCCAACCCGTGAAACTAGAGATTAGGGGAGGAGTTTTGCCATTTCCCGCAAAAATATTTGCGGGCCGGGTCGGAATGCGGGGTCTGATCGGGCAGGTTTTGCCGCCCCGACCCGCACTTTGGCGGTTATTTTGCATGCCGGGTCGGGATGCGGGGTCTGCTAGAGTTGCTCTAACAATGACACTCAAATTGGTGAGCAAATTAACCGGCAGATGTTTTTTATCCCTTGTGGTGTCTTGGTCCGTGAGAACTATGTCTCACATTAAGCGAGACGGTAGCAACTTTTGCTGAAGGACTTTCTTTTGTCTCCCGGGTCTCCTGAATAGGAGGTAGCGACGCTAGCCACAACCACCAGGTCTGGTTTGTGATGACCTGTAGGGTGCGACCTCCTCTTTTTAGGCCTTCTTTGATTCATAGGATAGGAATTTTATAGGAATAAGGAAATCATAGAAAATGAGATGACATGCATGTGCATAGGATAGATTTTTTTTCATTAAGTCTAGGCTAATGTTTTTTCCCTCCAAAACGTGAAGGATTGAATAGGAATCCATTCCTACAAACCAAAGGGCTTCAAAGGAATTTTTCTTTTGCAAATCCTATCCTATAGAATTCCTACAAAAATCCTACAAACTAAAGGAGACCTTAAGGTAAAAGAGCCGAATTTCTTCATCGTTTTTCTGTTTTATCAAGCTTTTCTTGGCTTGTTCTTCTTCCTTTTGTTTTCTTTTGTTTCTTTCTCTTTTTCTTCTCTAGTTTTTAATTCTTTTTTCATTTTTTGCATTTGTTTCTTCAGATTTTATTTTTCATTTTCTTCTTTCTTTGGTTTATTAGTTTTCCTTTTTTATTTTTGGTTTTCTATGTTTCTTTTGGTTTCATTCTACTTTTTTTGTATATGTCAGCAACATTTTTCCAATACATGTTTAACATTCCTCAATACAAAACTAACATTTTATTCTACTTTTTTTCTATATATCAGCAACATTTTTCCAATACATGTTTAACATTCCTCAATACAAAACTAACATTTTTAATATATATTGTCAACATTGTTTCTATACACATTTTTTTAACAATTTTCAAATGCTTGTTTAACAATTTTTATATACAAGATTAACTTTTTTTGGATACATGGTCAACAGTTTTTTATACATTTTTAAAAAATGCTTGATTAACAGTTTTCAAATAAAAAGGTTAATATTTTTTAATAGATGGTCAACATTTTTTCTATACACATTTAACATTTTTCAAACGCTTGATTAACATTATTCAAACACTTGTTCAACATTTTTTCAAATGCTCGATTAGCATTTTTATATACATGATAAAAAAATTCATTATTTTTTAATACATGATCAACATTTATTATATACACATTTAATATTTCTCAAATATTTGATTAAATTTTTCAAATAATTTTTCAACATTTGTGTTTCAAATTATTGACTAAATTTTTTATATACATGATAAAAAACCCATCATTTTTAATAAATGATCTACAATTTTTCTATACACATTCAACATTTTTCGAATGCTTGATCAACATTTTTTTCAATTATTTTTCAGCACTTTTCAAATACTTGTTCAATATTTTACTAATGCTTGATTAACTTTTTCAAATACTTTTTTCAATATTTTTTAAATATTTGTTCAACATTTTCCGAATGCTTGATTAACATTTTTCATATACTTGTTCAACATTTTCCAAATGTTTTTTTGTAGAGTGTTTTGTGTAATATATATTTAAAATATTTTAAACTATAAGCAGAAGTATAAAAACAAGAAAACAACGAAAACAGAAAACAGAAAAAGAGGCTGTGGCCTCCCGTGCGCGTGGGCCGACCCATCTCGGTCGTCCCCTTCAGCGAGTCAGAACCTAGACTCGCTGAAGGCGAGATACAGGGGCTCCCGTCTCGGGCGATACATACACATATTGTTTGCGTTGTTGTTTATGGAAATGGGCTTCCACCAGAATTCCCATGCAAAGGCGAACCCTCCCCCAAATGGTAACGAGAAAAGGACGAAAGTACTCCCTCCGTTTCCTAAATATTTGTCTTTTAGAGATTTTAAATGGACTACCACATACGGATGTATATAGACATATTTTAGAGTGTAGATTCACTCATTTTGCTTCGTATGTAGTCATTTGTTGGAATCTCTAAAAAGACAAATATTTAGGAACGGAGGGAATATCAAGGATTGACTGTAGCTTCAAGAAATGCTCCAATAGACGTATGAAAATGGTCATCTGTCTTCCTCTTCATCACAATGATGCGGCCTCTGCTGCCGGCCTAAGGTTTGTGAGTTTTTTTTTTCAAGATTATGATCTTGGATTTATGGATCTTTCAGGGGCGATGACTTTGAGGTTTCTTCTCCACGGCGATGGTCCGACAGTAGCGCGTCCTTGATGACTTCCCATGCGCGGTAAAAAACGACCGGCTAGCTCAGGCGATGGGGAGCGCCATCTCTCTGTGTCGTTGGTTTGATTAAAAGTTTTGGAGCATTTTTGAAAGAAAAGAAAAATGCTCAACTACTTATATACAGGCCGTCGTGTTAGAGATTGAACTGCCTCGTTTGAATTCTCTGTTTCAAATGACATCCACGGTCGGTTTCGAAGAGGCGGAGTTGCTCGAGAAAAAGGAAATCCAGATGGAAAGAGGCAGTATGGTATGCCCTTGGGATCAGGCACAGATTAAACGGCCAACTGACCGAACAACCACAAAATCAACTCTCGAAGATATGATGTTGCAGCTGATGTGGTTAAGGATAACCGGGAACATAGATGCCCCATTTGGGACAAAGGGGGGAACACAATTTTTTTCAAGAAACGATTATTATATAAAACATCATTTTTTTCTTTTTGAGAAAAGACACCGAAAAGTCATCTTATATCTGATACGCAATTAACAAGTAAAATGGTACAGTAGTAAGTACTCTCTCCGTAAAGAAATATAAAAGCGTTT